TAAAGGAAGAACGCATGAAGACGTCTCATTTGGTATGGGTAACTGTCTGCTTGCGAATCGGACCGGTGTTGAGCAAGAAGTGGATGAGACGAAATTTAAAAAAATAGCCGTAAAAGAGAGAAAAGCAACTTACGGATCCGGCGTTGAACCCCGTCAACAAAAAAAGGGATAAACGAGTGAAGCTCCACATCACACAAGAATACAGTATTTAACTGTGGAAGTGGCATGACCATCCGGTGAGGAAAACAAAGGTAATCATGCGCGTAACGTGAGAAACAAACAAACCAATATCAGTTCTATTGTAACGTGTATATGGACTTCAAAATCCTCAAGATGGTCGGGAAGGGCACCGGGGGGTCATCGGTCATCATTCCTTTACACATCAGAAATTGCTTCTATACGGTCGCGAGTCTGAAATAGCATCTACTGAGGAAGACCCCCTCATTACCTATTCGGGGCAAAGGTGTTCTCTCAATAAAGTAAGAGGACAAAACCCCAACTTCCGGGGATATAACGGGGTCGGTGAACCCCTGGCAGCTCACCTAGAGGAGATGGCTAAAAACCCTGATTCCAAACTAACTAAGAAGAGGCGTATGAATCACGCCCACCTTGGTTGTGGTAATGGTCCCCGGATGGATCGGGCATCGAGATGTATTGGGCACTTTGGAAGTTGGACTCCGTCCAAAGGACGTATGATTCGAAGAACTGGACACCGTCCCTCAGGAGACAGTGACTTTTAGGCACTGCATCGCTGGCTTCCGGGTCAGACTTTAGCTAGTCAAAGGCTCTGGCTGTGAATCCACAAGAAAATTCCCGTTTTGGGATTAGCGACCTAGAATTATTTTCTTTATTTTAAAGATTGTAGCACCGTGATTTGTTTGGAAAACAATTTGAACTCAAGAAGGTGCGAAACAGGATATTAATATTAATATTTAAAAAAGAATATGTAGATGATCAGCTGTTGGACTTAGATGACTGAGTGCTGACAGCATCTACTCAAAAATCTCTTATCAGCGCTATGCGTGAGACAACTGAATGGACCATGTTATTAGAAAATGGTGGGCAGTCAATATTGCAAAATGGTTACCTTTTCAATTATATGGACGACGATCACAGGAACGCGCATCATAAATGATGTCGAAAAACCTTCATTTGAACAGGACGGTTTTTCACATCTTCGTCGCATGAGAACCCACATTTTTTGTCTAGATTTGCGTAAATCTAACCATCGGATTAAAGAAAACCAGGTTTGAAGAAACCCTCCAGTCCTTTTTAGTCATTGATGCATCCGCACCGTTAAGAACTAATCGCACCTCTTCACCGTCAACAGCTGTCCTCCCGTTTGTTCAACTTAGTACTTAACACAGTCATTGCATTCAATTTTCATCTTGGATGTTTTATATATCTCGGTGTGCTGTTTTATGAATCGAAAGCATCTATCATAGACTGGTCGTCGATGTGTGGGACCGGTTAAGTCTCGCAATCATTTCAAATAGTTTTTTAAGTAGAGGAGAAGTACGACGCCTCTATATGTCTCTTTAGAAGAGTTTTCTTTTCAGTAAAATGTGGAGACGTTATCTCTGGTTATCTGCGACCGTTTTCAAACGAACACAAACAAAACCACGGTGCTGTAAAGTATATTGAACGGCTAATGACAAGATAGTACAAAGTCGGTTTCTGCTATGGACATTTCGAAAATGTTAACACAGTAAGAAAAGCAACAAAGTAAGCTAAAACTAACCAAATTGCAATCCTTAGAAATAGCTTAAACCACTGAAGTGATTACCTTGGAACTAACCGTAAGTGGATCCTAGAAACAGTGGTATGTAAATCAACACAAAGACCTCTTTAGATTGTCCAGGCAACAAGAACACCACCACTATCGGTTCGCCTCCATGCCCTTCAGTGTATCCAACCAAATAGTAAATCTTTTGGACCCGATCCCAGAGAAACCTATTCTACTTAATAGCGTTTCTCCATGCCTCGCTTCCGCGTCATCTGTTAACCTTCACAGGAATTTCTTCATCCTAGAGCCGAAAATGCAAAATAAGGTGCAGTGTGGTGGACAACAGATGGATATGCGTAATACAGGTCCCGTAAATAGCACACTTTATTTGAACATCAGGTGGACAAATATTAGTGTCTGCAGTTGTTCTGTTTAAGCCCATAGCTTGGTTAGCTATAGAGTTATGATAGTGTGCTAGTGCGGCTGTACTGCGACTTGAATATATTGCGAGTCACTGACGTGGTGGAAATGGAGTAAGAAAGATAAATATTGAGAGGGTGGGAGTGGTCAAGCAGTATACTGTTTTACATGGTCGCAAGATGAGAAGCGACTTTTAATTATAAACTCCACGAGCGATAAAGAAAAAATACTGCTAAGCTTGACAATGTATCTGAATCAGTGTTGGTCCAACGTACTACCTTTGGGAAGCAAATCCGGGAAAACTACTGAGGAGTAGGTCTAGTGACAGATTTTACTATCGCATGTAAAGAAACTTTTAGCGAACGAAGTCAGATGATGCATAAAGTCGGCTTTTCGCCTCTAAGTGTCTCGTTAACACGATGAGTTCATTGGAGGTTTTTGGACATAAATACCACAAGATATTTAAAATGCTGATCTCGGTCAACAAGCAAGCCAGAGATGGGAATACTGTTTTACTGGATAGTATTGCAAATAGCTAATAGCATTTCGACGCATTTCGTAGGATCCAAAGTCACGTTCCCAGCTTTCGGTCGTTTTTAACCTAGGAAACGGAATACTGGAGCAGGTTTGTGTTGGAGGTGCACTGCGCTATATGACCGACGACCAAAACGACAACATGTGTGAAGGAGAAGACAGATCAGGTAATCAGGATGCTTTGGACACAACAAACAAAATTTGAGACGATGGCGCCTTATAGGACACCCACATAGATGAGAACTGAGGCGATGCCGACTCACAATGAGTTGGCTATTTTATAAACAAAGAGACAACAGTTAAAGATATATGATTAGATTGAACAAAGATGGTTCACACAAGTTTATAAGATGATCGGAAGGAGCCCATCAGATCTGGCAAATTTATTACTTATTAAACTCCGGCTCGTGAAGAACATTTTGATTTATACTGACAGGGGTTTATGGGTGGTCCATATGTGAGTGATTTGTTGAGATTCAATAGGTCGTAGGGGGCGGGGGGTTACAAGTGGAGGGAACTGGCTTCAGAGTATTTTTCTCCCTTTCCAGAGATCATGATACGAATCGTTTTGAAGGACGGTTAACATAAGCCATCTCTTTCTTGAGATGGTTACTTAACGGTGCCACCGTTGACTCATCTCGAGAGAGAGGGGCTTTTTGGTTATTCTGTCGTAGTCTCTTCAGTCTTGTGGACACAAGATTGTCAGATTGAATTGGCATCCTCACGTTTGGACAGTACAGATCGTAGCGAAACATTAGACAATCTGTAATATTTTCACAGTATTTTGAGATATCGGGGTCAGAAAAGGGATATAGGTTCGAAGTTCCAATCATCTTATCCAAGTTCATCAAGTTTTTGCGATGGCCCTGGTGTACGAACAACGCCCGGCCGAGTGACTTGGTTAACGTTCAACTGATACAGTTACCGTAGACCTTAGTAAGAACTTAAACCCCATAATTGACGGAATTTCCTAATGGTGCTCGAATGAAAGTATGGAGTACGTGGAGACCGTTTATAAAAAATTAATCCAATGTTGCATTGTTCCTTGTAGGAAAACTGGCAATGTTGCGAGCAGGCATAAGTATTGAAAAACACATCTATTCTCCTGAGATCACCAGAGATGATAAAAACTGTTATCTCCAACTTTCGAAGTAATGTAGTATTGATCGTATCCAGCAACAGGGATATTTCGGAAGGATTACAGTTAGGGGTAACACATACATTCAATATGACAATAGATGAATATTTCACTAAGAAACGAGGTGTTCTAAATAGCGAAACCTACTAAACCGGATTGGGTGTGATGGTAAATTTCCTTCGAATCACTCCCAAACGCTCATCGGTTTACCTTATATTGCTAACCCACTGGCCCCAGTCTACGTGTACCAAACAACGCAGACAATGTGCTCCGGTCCTGTGAACACCGATTGAACGTTAGAAATTCAAGGCGTTGTCTAGTTTACTGTGCTACCGCCATTCAGCAAAAAACGGTATAAGTAGGACAACTACTATCTAATACAGTTATTACTTGACTATCAAGTATTAGAACGAGAATGGAAAACGACCAGTCTCGCAGCATTACTCAGCGCTTTAAAGGTGCAAAGCGCATACAAGTCAAGTCAAGTTAACAGTGCAATTTATTCATCCACTGTGGACAGAATTTTCAGTGAAAAATGCTATCACTTCTTCTTTGGCACAATTGCTATTAAAATGGATCTGAAGATATGACAATTAGTAAACGGATGATGATTATTACGATGAGCAAAAACACATAGCAAATGTAGAAAATTACAGTGTGAAAATATACATAAATCAGTTCGTTGGATATCAGTCCCATGGAAACCAATAGACGAGAAAGATAAGGTACAATGGAATTGTGAAAACCTGTGGAGCAAACGTATAAATGTTTAAATTTATTACGGGTGACAGATGTGCAAACGGAGCGAGAGAGGCTTGAGTGTAAAGAATGTGATGCACCAGACAACACTGAGTCATACAGACGGTCAAATGCCTCAAGGTGTTGGTTGACAATGGAGTCGACCAGCGCGACATAAGGGCAGCTCCATACCTAGAAGTGTTTTCCAGAGCGACTGATCAACAAGAAATCAGTAGTGATTGATTTGAACTGACTATTCTTCGGACTTCACTTTCAAGCAAAATCCTCAGTTCATCGATTCAACCATAAACTCGAAAGCACTAGACTCGAGTTTCGCTCTTAGTAGAGCTCACCAATAGTGCATATCTATCGTCTCGTCCGGGATTTGAACTCCGAACCTATCGCATGAAAGGCGTATGTGTTTCCACTGTGCCACTCAGTTCATCAATCGAGCCTGGTGGGTTTGCGGCAAGTCAAACTGTAACCTGCATGGAAGTCCTGACTTGGTGGGAGGCTTTCGATTGGAATTAACAGATTATCATCTGTCTCGCCCTTCGTTGCTGTTGGGCTAAATGAATCGACTTTCACTACAAACGACACCTGAACGAACATGAATCGGCAATGCGTTTTAGTCATGGTATGAGCTGGTTGGCACAGTGGTAACGTACGGGTCTTCCATGCGATGGGTCCGGAGTCCAAATCCTGGGCGGGAAGGTGGATATAAACTACTGATGAGCCTAATAAGAGCGAAACTCCAGTCTAGTGCTTTCGAGTGTATGGTTGAATTGGTGAACTGAGGATTGTCCGTGAAGGTGAAGTCCGAAGGACAGTCAGTTCCGATCAATCAATATCAATTAGTTAGAACACAATTTCCGGCGAAAAATTTTCACTAACTAATAATCATGCCGTTACAGTTTATATGAGGGGAAAAAGCTTTGGCGCTACATGGCTTGCCGGAGTCCAGTTATCGATTGAAAGTATGGGTGCACAGCGACATCAATAGGCTAACGTACTTCTGGGGGTTTAATTTTTGGAGAAACTAACTGATTGGGGCCTCACGGTCAACTGAGTTCAAGGCTCCTTTTGGATCAATAGGCATTGCGATCGTTGGTCGACGACGTGCGATGTAACTGGAGAACTTAACGCAACGGGAAGTATCTTATTTACACCGTTATTTCAAGGATACTGCGCCAAAGTAGCTATGATTCGAAAAATAATAATAGGAATAGAACAAAAAGCAATCGGGTTGCTTAATGCAGGCAATTTTCAATTTGTTGTCTGTACATTTCAGGGATCGTAAACATACATTACCAAAAAAGGCTTTGATTTACCGTCTTCAGCAAAAAACAATCTGAGTCGTTGGGGCCCCAGCCAGGAAATCGGGAATCCCAGTGGAATCCAAATTCGATCACGCCCCTTCAACCCTGTGCTAAGTCACAGATTGTCCACCTAGTTGTTTCTTGCCGTCTTGTCCCATTGCTGCAAATAACGCATGATATGGTAGACTTGCCCAGACATCCGTAAACGTGCTCGCACCACCTCAAACGATGACGTAACTTGAGGATTTGATCAACACAACGGCGAACTAAATAGAATTCCACCTGCTGTTGGTGAATTTTCGTTGCCCTCAAAAGCGTCAGGAGATGAAGGGTCACTTAATTCAACACCTGAGTGACTAGTGGAATTAAACTTAGCACGATATTTCATCAGATATTATGAAAGCTCTCTTCCACTGAGCAAACGATCCAAGACACCGAATAATAAATCCCTATAGGTGTCTCAGAGTGGGAACTCGTTAGTCACATACCATTTCCTCACTGCTTCTCTGCAAGAGATGAGCATATGTGAAGAGGCTCGACAATCCCCTGAAATCGTACTACTGTCATCCAAAGGACTAGCGCACATGGTACATAAAGGCATTCACAGATGACGCAAGAGCGTGTACAAAGTGACTGAGCACTGGAAAAGTTCACACCGTTCATATTCGTATTCCATACCGTTATTGCTGTGCAAGATTGCAACTTGTTTACGCTGGGCGGATTTTATATATGTTGATTAAATTTCATCCCACTTTTCTGACATTTTATTACAGAAGAGAATATACACTGCACATTGTTAAGTTTAGTGGTCGTACAAGAAGACTGAGTACCAAAAATCAAAAAAGCACGGTGGAATTTACCAGGAAAGCAACGAAAACTCATTGTTCATACTTCGAAATCCATAGAACAAGCTGAGAAAGGAATATGAAGCTGGTGCGAATGTATATAAAAACTAAGTTATTGTATTTTGAGTAGAAAAATTGCAAAGCAACCATTCCCAAACGTACCGGTCGAAGTGGATGAGGAACGCGAATTTGCCAAGCCAACTCCGCCCTGATACGATACCGTACACAACCTTCATCGTCGAGGACCGTTTCGTTAACTTCATCGAATAAGTCTTCATCTAATTCAGATGTTGGTTCCCATATTNCACTCGGGTATAATCGTTTTAAAAACGTCTCCACTTTGGCTTTTTCATCAATTTGACAAGTGTGACTTGTCGGTGCCCAATCGGGTTGAGAAAGGGCGAGAGCCTGATAGGCCGCTTCCATACAGCTGCTGATGACCATGGCGCGCCTTGTCTGTCGGACAGCGAGCGATTCAGGTTGCATGTCATGTATTTTCACTGGAAGCCGATTCAGATGAATCAATTGTTCATTCAGTTGGTGTTCCAGATGCTCTATGAGTTCGAAATAGTCACGATTATCGGACTTCCAAGGCCAGTCAACCAACTTCGTTCGTGTGATGAACTGACTGAACTCCAACGTTTCCGGTGACTCCAACGGCAAATCCAAGGAGTGGAACCACAAATTGTTCTCCAAATGATAGAGTTCTTCCAACTTCTCAAACGTTGTTGGCATTGAATTTAATTGGACCCCATGGTTGAATCTAACAGTAATCGATAGGAAAATTGTAAATTAGCAAAAGTGGGTAGAGAATATCGACGACGAAGTGAATGCATGTTTTGTTTGTTGTGTCTCAGTTTAGTTCAAACAGCTATTGGCGCAGTGCAACAGTACCTCAGCCCTACTCCAGCTCTATGCATGGTGGAGATCGATAATGTTGCTAACGCGATACAAATCCGCCAAATCCAATGGTGATAATAAGCATGAGCGCCAATCTGCATGGCACATCGTTATTGTACCATCAGCAATCCGATATTGTGTGGGTAATTTTCAGTTTCCGATTAGAAGTCAACTGTGACCAAAAGAGTGCACAACGCCTAGTACAATTTTGTTTTCCCGATATCATTAGATTGTTGGAATCCAGGGTATCGGACAGAATACTGCAATCTGATTGGTTCATTTGCTCTATAAGTGCTACTTATGTTCCGTTCGGAAAAAATCTAGGTTGTATGAAACCCTATAAATACAACACAGTGTTGCTACATCACTTTTGCGGACTGAAAAGCAAATTCTAGTCGAAAACCCGAACTGGAGGACCAGGAAGCTGGACTTCGTCTGACCTCTACCCTTCGAACTTCCAGGAATGATCTTCGACTTGACAAAGGTTATCTTGTGTAGCTCGTTGGATGAGAGAAGTGCNCCAAGCCATCACACCACGTTAAGGTGCAGTCTCGTCGTGGTGCTGAATTGTCCATTACTACCGTCCCTACTCAAAGATTATTTTACCGGTAGAAGTTTCTTGGAAAAACTTGTAATTATCGATCAATTCAGGGCTAACCCACGGAACAATACTGCTTTCTTTTCTCGCTCTATTTTCCAGACTCACCCACTGGACCCCAAGGATTTTCTCATCAAGCACTCTGATGTCACCATGGGCTCCAAATTCCAAGGTAAGTTCCGTTTCTCACAGCTTTAAACCAATTTATCTGCCGTAAGCTTACGGTCTTCGTATTCCAAATTATTTATTGACGCCTCTAAAATATGGACGACACCTTCTCATTAGCCAAAGGAGAATGGCTAAATGCTCTACGTCAGTGATAAAACTGTTCCTCTAGTACGTTCTTTACAAAACCTTGGTGTTAATATCCGCCAAGTTCTGCTGGTCTTGGAGTAAAAGACTAATCTCTATTGACACTAGCTCAACGGTATCACCGACAAAAACTTCTGCAACAATATTCTAACAGACATCACTCATTACAAACAGAGCTTAAACACTATATATACACTTCCGTAACTAGGTGTCGTTAGAACCTTGTATATACTCCTAGCACTGCCCACACCTTGTCCGTTATTTCCCTACCATTCGAGAGTTCGAGCACACAAAGCGTTCATCAGAGACAAATTTTTAAAACTCCTAAGTAAATGATATCTATTTTCCTCTTGAATTCACGGCACTGTTTTTCCTCAGCGACAGTATGCGATGATAAATTACCCTGATGTGCAAGGAGCTGAAAGTTCATTCGTAAGAATGAATAAAGCAATGTCTGATTTGTGACCTGTGGGCACAACAAAGTTAATGTTCGTCCGATTTTTTAACTTTTATGGAACCTGCAACTCACTTTTCTAACTGCGCATCAAATATTTCTATTGCTGTTCTAGGATGGATAAGGTAGGGAGTAACAGATCCCGTGGAGATGACGCACAAAGAAATGCACTAAGTTATTCAGTCGATGGGTCCTTTGTCTTATACTCTGGGATCCGAAAGACTGGTTGGTTGGAAACACCGAAGGACATGAGAGAAAACTGACAGTGGTGACCATTTTGTAGTTCTTTATCAGACCACAATAATGGAAAAGATGTGTACGCACGGACGGAATGTATTCTAATTGTTGAACGAAGGTTCATTTTTCCCTCCCACAAAACAGACCCACTCTCTAACCATCTAACACACTTCTACAGGCGGGCCGTACATTGTGAGCTTGGTAGCGATAGATTTGTTTCTTACCTTAGATTCTTCACTTTTTCTGCAGTTGAACCCCAGAGTCCTGGCACCACAGACGGCTTCTCGGGTAGGACATTTGACGGTGCTTCGTCGATAAAAGGAAGTTTATGATGCGGATGTTGCTGGTGACGCTTTAACCGCTGTCTGTCGTGCGGAGGTTGCTTTAGAACAGCTGTGGTTGTTCGAAACGAACGGAAAAACAGCCGCATGTTAACAGGGGGTGAAGAAAGAAGCATTTTAGTCATTCACTAGTAACGCTCTCCGAGTGTGGCTGAAGGCTGTAAAGAAAAAGGGAACTGAATGTAACAGTGTTCGCCACTGCATTACATTTGAGAACGATAACAGATTGGCTTATTACCAAGTCTTCAAGTAGGAATGTCAGTGGGAGCTCTCCCGTATTATGCCCATCAAATTATGCCCCACGGGGCTTTCTAGATGTTTATACCAGTTCGGTATTCCTGTATAGCTCTGTCAGAATTAATTTGAAACAAACTGTTTTTGAATTTTCTATCATGTCCTCCGGTAACACGTTGCAGAGATTTGTTAGCCTCCTTGACGGAGGACAGACCAGCGGTAGACCATTTGACTGCATCTTGCGGAGCATCAGTGCATATCCCCTGATGCGGCAGTTGTTCTTTATGGGGCATTCTGTTCTGTACCCCAATCCACCTATCCCCTATCCCCTATTATTGTTCTTATTATTGTTGTAGCATTGGCACCATGCTTGGCTACAAGCCGGTGTTAAATATATATATATATAAGATATATTTTGCTTACAGTTCTGGGACACGTATGATGTATCTGGTGTGAATCAGGTCACCTCAGTTGTCTTTATAGCATGGGAAACAACCCTGTACCAATCAGTCGGTTTTCAAAGCTGATACAACGTAGTCCCACGACGAGGCGTGTGGCGGCCCGCTGAACCCTCTCCAATTGGGTAGCCTCAGGAGCAGTTCAAGGAAAAACCGCTAAAAAGAGATTAAGCGTTTTCCAAATGGATACCCAAGACTTAGGGGCGCGACATACTTTGCGGTAGCCCACATCGACGAAGGGGGTTTTCTTCGGGAACCATGACCGGAGCCTTTGATTCAAAAGTCTGGCCCTCAAGGCAGTGGGAATTTATGGGTTTTTCTTAAGAAACCGCCGAACCACCATATTCTAATTGAGGACGTACGTGGGAGGCCAACATCAATCTGAAAGCATTCGTGGGTAGAAGACCAAGGGGGACCAAACATGCTTCATATAGAAGCACAGATCCTCTCCTTAAGTGCACGAGTTTTTATATATTACTGGTAACCACCGCACCCAACTCTCAGATGATTGTTGGAGAGTGGTACTCCCGAAACGGTTTGGTTCAGTTCAGTTTGTACAAATATTAATCATTCACTTTCGCGCGCCGGTTTTGGTTACTGTCTTTTAGCTGTCTATTGGATGAAGCAGAATGAGACAGACAGGAAAGTTGCGATTAGAATCGAAGAGCAAATTGAGAATTTCAGTGGACTAAGGTTGCAAAGAAATTGAGATGCACGAATACTATTGTTTACAACACTCAACCGTATCACTCAGTATCTCTAACCATTGCATACAATGATCCCGAGGTCCCCATCCGGAGAGCCTAATGCGGCCTCTATGACCGAGAACTGGCCGAACTGTTGCAGCATACACTCGACCCTTCAAGGACAGCCGGATACCGCAGTGGCCCCACAGATGTCTCAAGTTGGCAAATGCCTTATGCCTATTGAGGTAGCTTATTTCCCGAGAAACCTCCAGTTCAGATGGAGTACTGGTGTCAACTGGGAGTATTTGCCCAGTCGAGGTGGGGGTCTTAGTTCGGATGTTGAGGGGAAGGGCCGGTTGAACTGAGTCTCGAAATGTTCAGCCCAACGGTCAAGACAGCGTTGCTGATCGTGAATCAGTGTGCCATCGGATTCCTTAATTATCTTACTCACGCCTATTTTCCCAGGGCCCGTATTCCAAATTAGACGAAAAAGATTGCGACTATTACCAATAGCCGCAGCTTTCTCTATCTCTATACACTTTCCTATCCACCACTTCTTTCAGTCATTTCTCAGACTCTTGATGAGCTGACGTTTGAGGGATTTGCGCGATGTGTTATATGGCATCAGGAGGAAGGGTTCTGCTGGCGTCGAGCATGGCAGCCAGTGCATGGCATGTGCGCCAGTAAATGATGATGGTGACATGATCACTTGATCCGAAGGGATTGAGTCGAACTTTATCTCCCACAATAGAGCTTCTCGGCGATATGACAATGTCTAACACCTATGCGGAGCTCCCCTGGATGTGCGTGGGATCTCGAATGTGTTGGTACACGGCGAGGGATTCCAACATCTCATGTAGCTGACGTTCAAACGTACCTTTGCGATAACCACACAATCCGGCCTCCCAATCAGAGTTGGCAGGGTTGAAGTCTCACAGTAGCAAACAGCGTCCGCCCGTAGTCCACCACGGGATGACATACAAGCTTTTCTCGAAATTGGCTGACGATATTCTGTACACCAATCCGACTGTCAAGTACCCGGCCGGTTCACAAGACACCATAAAACCTCAGTATACCCTGCAGGATCGGCAATCGATTGAACACGACTTGCCGGATAATCTTCATTGATGTAAAGCACCACACCACCAACAGATCTCGTGCGTGGTCTATCAGTACGGAACAGGCTGCGTCCTGGGAGTGATAATTCTGTGTCCGATACCTCATGACGAAGCCACGCG